GTGGGTTGACACACTGGATGCAACGGTTGGGCGCGGAGGCATCCGTGCCTGGATTTGGGGTTACATCACAGGGCGCTGGAGAGTTCAAAGACCAGCTCCAGACGCTCAGCCCAGAGCCTTTGATGTCATCCTGGGCCTTGGTGTGCAGCCCCCGGAAGTATGTGCGGCAATGCCATTGGTTGGGAGACGGTTGGCGAGATGTGCCATGCTGTACCCGGCTGGAATGGTGGTGTGACCGACCAGCAGCTTATTTTTATTCTGCGCCTGCACCTGGACAGTCAAAGCTTGATTAATTGCTGGGAAGGCCGAGAAGGAAGCAGTTTGTGCTCTGCACGTGATGGCGATGGCACGCCACTGTCTGCTGGGCTTCTGATGAGGCGGCGCGACCGAGGAATGAGAGAAGACCGTGAAGAAGCTTCTGCGTGTCGATGACGCGCACTGAGGCCACAGATGGGACCACAGAACTGCCAATTGGCCCCATGTCACTCGCCAATCGCCATTCGCTTTGCCGGTGGAAACTGGAGACTGGGCAGACAACGCGACGAGCGAGAGAGAGAGATATGGAGGGGCGGAGCAATCGGATTGTCGGATATCGACAGCAAAGATCCATCCAAGTAACTCTTAGCTGCAACGCGCCCAAAAGCGCGCAGAGATGTTTTGGAAATACACCGAGCACAGACGCATGTTGCCTGGGCCAAAATGGAGGGTGTGACTAAGCGCTGAGCTCGCTGACCAAACCATGCGATAATCCAGCTGCGACGCGTTGATTTGCGAGCCTCATGTAAGGGATTTGAATTTTGAGACAGACTTGGCATGAAAAGAGCATGGCCCGAAACGGGCAACCAAAGCCGAACAAATCGTAGGCTTGCGGGACAACAGTTGATGGAGGTTTTTGTTGTAGGTACTTTTGGTGGTCGTGATGCTTCATAGCGGGGTAATTGTCAAGTTGTCTTTTTGGGTGAGGAGAATTTGTTGACCAATCACTTATCTTGGACACTACTTTGATATCCTTGGAAAAAACAAACTTAGAATGAAAATGAGCAAAATATAATTACATTGAGCCCGGATTGGGTTTACATTGCTGGCAGGAATTGAAGTTCACATCGTAACATGATGGCGGTATAGGGTAGGTAATTATCACGTGATTTAGGGAAAGGGAGAATGCATGTGTTTCGGCAAACATCAACTGATGAGGTATTTGGGGGAACAAGTTCCATTCGCTAGACATCTAAATTTTTTTCACATTACGCTTGCTTCCTTCATTAACCCATACTTCATACCTAAACACCGTTTACAGGAGGTCCATGATCTTCTCTCCAGCGTAGCTGGCGTTGTAGGCCCACTTCTTAGGAGCGGTCTGTTGCAATTGGTCAGTTTCCGCCTTGAAAGAGGGGTAACGAAGGGTGACAAAAAAACACGTACCTGAATGTAAAGAATGCCGTCCTCAATGGCAACCTCGTGGTACGAGGCCTTGATCTCGTCAAGCACACGGATCTCAATCTTCTTGGCGCTCACCTCCTCAACGAGTGCCTCCTGGAGCATGTCATCGGAGCCAAACTTGTTGTACTCGAGCTGCGAGTAGAGACCCTCAAAGTAGGAGAAGAGGGTGCGCCCGAAGCCCTGGTCCCAGTCGGAGTCGATCCCCTCGGCGCCGTTGAGCTTGGCGAAGTTGGCCTCAGCGTTGTTGTTGAGGGTGATGTCCGTGTTCAGAAGCTTGCTGAACTTGGCCTGGAGCTCGGCAATCTTGGGCTCGTAGTCCTCGGCGAGGCTGAGGCGGGCGTGGAAGTTGAGGGGCTTGGTGGATGGAGCGGTTTGGAGCGCCTTCTTGAGCTTGCCCTCCTCAAGGGCGCTGCTGATGTTGGTGCCGAGGGCGTTCTCCCTGAACACGATGACGAGCTGGCCCTGCTCGTTGACGACGGCGCCGTTGTAGTAGACGGATGAGTCGTCGGTGTAGTCAAAGGCGATGACATGGGCGTGGGCGAGATCATTCAGGTCGGTCTTGTAGATCTCACCACCAGTCCTTCCGATGATGTACGAGAGCTGGCTGTGAGCACCCTCAATATACTCGGTGATCAGGTTGCCGGGGCTGTGGTTGCCGTATGAGCCCTCCTCAGCATAGGGGAACAGAGCCTTTGGGTCGACTTCGACAGTCCAGGCCACTCCGAGGAGGTCTGAGAGCTTCTTCTCAAGCTCCCCCTTCTTGCTGTCCCACTCATCACGGACTGAAAGAGGGATGTTAGTTTAAATCGCCAAAGGAGTTTCAATGAATTTCAATGGAGTGGCTTACGGTTCTTGCGGGCAGCAAGGGGAAGCTTCTCGGCGGGAGGAAGACGAGGCATTGTGTGTGAAGAGGTTGGGTTGGTTATGGAAAGTGAAGTTGAGTGAAGTTGTTGTTGATGATGGATAATGAGCAAAGCCGATATTTTGAGGGAGGACGGACGAGGTCTTATATATCCCTTCCTGGCTTCATAGGCAACAGATTGCCTGGGAACGGAGAGCTGTCGCCATAGGGAACCTCGTGCTCGTCAGTTCAAACAATAATTCAGCCTCCATCATTTCAACATCTCTCCTCTTGGGCTAGCTGGCCCCGTTAGGCTGGTTGAGCTCAATGAATAGCCCTGTGAAACGGACTTCCGCGCTAACAATAACCACAACGTCTAGCTTACCTACCCCCTTTCCCCTCTCTTTCACCGTAACGGCTCGCTTGGCTTCTCCCAAAGCGAGTAAAGTGATGCCTAGCTGAACTTGGATCCGCGTACCTGCATTTCAGCTCATCTATTCACCCTCTGCGTAGGATGCGTGCACAGCGTCAGCTCTGCTCCCCTGGCGGGACCGGCGCAGGCAGCAGGCCAGCGGCATTGGGCAAATCGTAACCGGATTAACCATACAAAGTTGGTGGGAAAAAGCCTCGGCCGACCCTTAAATTGTCATTCCCCACACAAGGCTGTCTTGGTGGTGCGAAATGCGGTCGAGCTGAACATTTAGCGTTGTTTGGCGGCACCAGGAACCGAGCATGTCACAGCGCGGTTCACCTCCGCACTTACTTTCCGTGATCTTGACACCGTTTCATTTTCCTTTCTTGTGTTTTTGTTGAGCCCGAGCTCTGGTTCCCACTCCCGGGAGCGGAGAGTGGTCGTCAGCCCTGCCGGTGGATGGAGACCTGCACCCCTAGGCTGCGATTTCTTGGCTTGACCTTGCGCCAAGGCACCCTTATGGGCAAATGCCGCCATTGAGTCAGCCGGCGTGAGGGGTTGGATGTGATACAACGTTGAACTTGAAGCTAACAGGCCATGACTCGTGGGCCCAAGACTGTGGAATGTCTGGAAGGGGAATGAAGCGACTGGTAGCTTCTCTCGCGAGCCCGAGAAGTGCTAGCTTTGCTTTCTCCTCGAGTGCTTCCATTATGGTAGAGAGCCACACTTTGGAATAGTCTCGTTCCCGAGAGCAACGTGTTGCTGACTGGAGGGTGTGAGGCGATGGAGATAGCGCGCTTTCGCCTTCCTAATAGGGTCGTTCGAAAAAGCAATCCATCAATGCTTTTTTCTGAGGGTGTATTTGTCGACGTTACTGAACGCTGGCCTCTTTGCTAGGTGCTAGAACATTCTCAGCGCTTATGATAATTTGACTGACAATACGATTGGGTATGTCAACTTCCCGTATAATTGCTTATATGGGAAAAATACACCCCTATTCCATGACTGGTCTGAGACTGGTTTAAAATATACGCCATAAAAGCTTATATAGCGACGCTCTAACAGCATTCTCGGGGCTTAAACGCGTTGCTTGGCGATATGTGATCACTCGAGAAGACCTTGCGCGTGATTGGCGCTTTCTATTGGCTACATAAGAACACTTTGATCCAATGTTTGATTTGGTGACGATATTGAGGCCACCGAAGCCGAAAGTTCTTCACTGCGATAGAGAGACCATCAACTGATGAAAAAGCTGATGGAATATGGGATATTTGGTATCTTGATGACTATCTGGCGGAAGGGCGCGAGATATTAAACTCACTAAAGTAATGAATGTCACTTAGGGACGCAATGGACCCTTAGACCACATTTGAAATCAAACCGTTCGTTCCACGGTAATCGGTAAAACTAAGATGGACGTGCGAGGTATGCTTTTTTTGACCTTGTAGGCTGTGAGTATCCTCTTCCAGCGAATACACTGCGTTACTTGGAGAGGAATTTGTTTTGATTCTTTTCAGCTATATGTTTCCAAAGAGCGAATCTCAAAGCAGTAAGGCTGCATAATTAGGCTGCTACCTTAGCTCTCTTCCGCACTTCAGGCCAAAGGTTGCGGTGATTTCCCTCATACTTGTGTATGCCCCTCTCTCGGATCACGTAGCTTTGACAGAGTTCTCGGTGAGTGACAAAAGGGCTATGTGGCATTTTGTGATTGCAGCTTGCGAGGTTCGGGTGTGAAGCGCGAACTTTGAGCCGATCAAGCTTTTGGGATAGAGGCTGGTTTTTTACGCATTTTAAGGTGTCGTATCGCATTTGATGTGACCCGATACGATTCCTTATAGTCGTGTGGATCGACTAAGCTTTTTCTTCTTTCTAAACTCACATGTAGTTGAGGCCACGGTCATTGGATACAGACAGTGTGCTCTTGAGTCGCATCGCCGACAGCTTCAAACAACTCGGTACATCCAGGCCTGATCGAAGGTAAACACAGTGGCCTTTGTTTGCTATTGGCAAGGACTTTTGATGGCGGCAGAACTGGCAGGAACAAAGTAGAATCGACTGGCGCTTGCCCCCAAAAGCCCATCTTGCGGAATCCTCACCGCCCTGGCAGAAGAAGCTGGTGACATTCCAGCCTCAGGCAACAATCATTCAGCCCAAGGACATATCCAACTCCTCTTCACCGTTGAAATTCCTCTGTCGTCAAACAGACTCCTCGCGCATCTCTACATACTCCTTTCTTCGATCGAAAATACGCCTTTCCAGTGACTCGCGAGTCTGTATACCCGAAAGCTACTCCCCGAAATTTCCGACATGGCTTCGACGCAGGAAGACGGCGAAAAGCCCTTGAATGCATCCGAGAAGGCATACTTGAAGGAAAATTGGGGCGACGAATTCCATTTCTTGCGCGATCACGGTCTCAAAATCTACAACGAGGAGGATCGGAGCGACGGCCGAGCCATCCTGCGAGCTTTTCGGAAGAGTGACTCCCTCCCCGAGGAGGATCACTCCCCAAGCGGTGCCAACGAGGCGGCTCATGAGTTCCGCAATGACGACCATTTCCGCGCAGGCGACCGAGCTGAAGAGAACCAGTATCAGCACCAGATCCCGAGAGGCTTCGCCCCCGCTCACGGATTCGATTATGCTGGATCGTCGGTCTACCAGCCGGCCCAAGACCCTGCTCTGGTCTCTGCTGGCGGCGGTGAACAGCACCAGGGACCGACGCGCGAGTATCGTATGAACCCCAATCAGTTTGGTCATAATCATGACCAAAGTGGCGCTTTCGATGGGGGATACCAGGGCAGATTCCAGGGCGGACGGCAGGACGGATACCATGGTGGCCGTGACGATGTGTATGTTGGGGGACACAGTTTTGTGCGCGAGGGCTGCGATAATCCGCATGATGCTGGTTCCAATCGTGGATATGATGATGGTTCCGATTCTGGGCATGATGATGGGTCTGATGATGTGTATGAGGATGGGGATAGCGATGGGGATAGCTATGGGGATAGCGATGGGTACGAGGACGATGATTAGAATGTTCAGCAGATCATCATAAGGACTACGGCCCACAAGCAAGGATCGAGCCCACCACTCCTTTAGCCTGGAGGCTATTCTGGGGTGAAGCATGGCTTGTGTTTGCGAACAGCAGTTTGGCTTCATTCAAGGGAATATGGAGTGATTATTGGGAGTATGAGGCTTTTTAGAGGGTGTGAAAGGATGAATATCGTATCAGGAGTCTATATGGGTTATGGTATGTATTTTGTCGTTGATCGTGACATGGTTCTGTCGGGAAGACATGCAAGTTATTCACTAGGTGAACGGAATATATTAATGTCACAGATTCTTCGGTTACTATGGAATGAGAGAACCATAACAGTTCTAAAATAGATCTTTCGGAGACATACATTCACGTCTAATCAAAATATTGTACAGGCGCAAACAAGACATAGTATAGCACGGCAGCGCACTCGATGCTCTCGAAGTTGGATTTTGGCAATTCCGATAAGGCCAGAGGGACCCATCTACTTTTCGAGAAGCTAATCCGAAGTACTCACGGCCATTTGAAAAGATCTATCCGACCTCAAACTTTTCGTGAAGCCCAATGTAAAAGCAAATGCGCAATATCTTTGAAACACCCTTCCATCAAAGCAGAATTCCAAGTGGATCGCGCTGCCTTTTCAACTCCAAAGCAGAGGGCTCATAATCAATGTAACCTGGTGTGCGTTGTCCCTTGTAGCTAAGCGACCTCCCAGGGAATGGCCAGAGCTGATCTAGACCTGCGCTTTACCCCCTCAATATTGGGAGCTTTAGATCTCCTGACCCTCGTAGTCCCACCCTTCATCATTATAGTCGAATCCTTCGTCTTCGTACTCATATGCTCCGTCCTCGTAGGCACCCTCTTCCTCCGTGCAGGGAGCCTCACCCTCCTCGTAGGAATACTCTTCCTCTTGCCCTTCGGGATTCGCCCCCCAGCCGCGACAGCCGTTCTCAATGGCCCCCCAGCCGCCATATGCGTTCCAGCCATTGTCAGGAACAGTAGACTTAGTCTTCCCAGTCTTGCACTTTAGCTTTTGCATCATTTCGGCAAGCATCTCAGAGCCGGGCGAAAGCTCATCAAACACAGTTCGGGGCCTTTCCACACATATCATGTCGAGATAGGGGTGATCCTGGAAGAAATTGGGGAGGTGAATGAACGAATGAGCTTTTGCTCCGGCCAGGGACAGATAGTGGTTCACCGGGCGAACGTAGGGCTCCTTGCAAAAGAGGCGGATGTTGATGAACCATCGAGCAGCTTGAATGGCGACTAGCAAGTTGGAATTGCAGATGTACTTGAACGTCTCGAGTCTTGCTTCTTCGTTGAGCTCCGACATCCACTGGGTAGGCTCCTTGCAGGTGAACTCAACACTGCTTGGGGCTAGATTCGGTGGGTGCCAGTCATTCGGGGCGTGCCAGTTATCTTGCTCCTCGGAGACACGGAGGGAATATCGCATTTCGTGGCCTTGGGCCAGATCAAGATGCCCGTATACTGGTTCTTTTCTTTGTCAGCACTGGCATTGATTCGGGGGTTAAATAGTGGTGGATGGTTTACCTTTGGTGCTCTTGGAGACTCCAACTAAGCTCTTGAATTCAGGATTGAAGTTTTGTTTCCCCACTTGAGATTCCATCTCCCGCGCGAGAGCATATTTATCGTAACCGAGGACAAGCTTCAGAAAGCTCTCCATCTGAGCGTCAGTAGGGATAGGGTTTGGCTGACCACTCGCTTTCATCGCAGCTTGGAGCATGTCGAACACGTCCATACACTGCGGGACTGTAAGATCGTCGATGCGGGTAGACACAGAGAGTTCAGCATGCTCATCCCATGTACCCCAGTCGTTGAGTTCGGGGACGGCGAGTTGTTTTCGACAGGCCCTGAAGATGTTTGAGCGATGCATTTTGCCTTTTCCAACCATCATGGCAAAGTCTTCGATGATGATCGTTCGGATGAAGATACTGTTGAGAGGCACTAATGATGGCTGTTTGGAGAAGTCGGGAGTAGAAATCAGTGGAGGGGTGAAAAAGTGAGTGAGGTGAAGGTTGAAAGGAGGAAGAGAGGAAGAAGAAGATGAGGAGGAGGAAGGTGAGCAAAGTTAAGAATTTGGAGCGAGGTGAGAGAAGGGTGAGGCGAGTGCCTCAGGCACACTCGGCTAAGAGACAATAAGTTTGATCACTACGTGGCAACACTCAGAGGTACCTGACTGAGTGTGTATTCCGTGCGGAGAACCTTGGTCACTTTGTGTGTTTGCACAGAGATTCAACTCTGATGGAGCGTTATTCCATTTCGTGCTTGTTCACATATTGATCAGGTGACGGAAGTTTCCCGATCTATTTCTGGCTGTAGCGTCATGATCAATCCTGTCACACTTGAGAACCAGATATACCACTGCCTGAATTTGAGCTTTGCGTATCTAGTCAACTAATGAAATGGCAAAAGACTGGAACTTGTACTGATCATCGTGCCTCCGTAATTCTAGGCAGCCTTTCGCTGCAACCGTCTTCGGATTTGCCACGATGGCCTCCTCGGCTGGAGCAATCTCTCTGCACACTGATCTGCTTCCCGTCTTGCTGCTCCCATGACGCGATTTCGTGAAGAGCTCCTGTGTTTGTGATGCTCTATCTGTACAAACGGCGGCTGGCCGTCGGCTTGGAGGTCTTAACGCTTGACTTCCGCTTTTTCATTTGGTTCGAAGCTGACTGTGATTGACATCGTTGAACCTGTCGCCAATGTTTCCCATGGCTCGATACTGTCTAATGAGCTGTGTCTGGTTTGTGCAGAGGCTGGCCTTGAGCTATCGATGTTTACCCCCTGCTCCTTAACTGTGTCGTTGGACTTGCAGTCGTCTGATTAGCATTTGAAAAGTCTCTCACAGCGTTTCTTCAATAAAACAAAAATTGAAATTTGCGACAGAAAGGTCTAACAGATTGTAAACGTATGTCTGAACTTGATGCGTTTGATCAAGGTTGTCCTGGTAGCCCTCAGCGACCGAAAATGATGCTTCCATAGCTGATTCTGAGCCGACTCTCAACACTACGTCTCACTCGATCAATTCTCTCTACACCCGCCTTTATGAACAGGAACTTTTTATTACCTTCCTCTGAAGCATGTTGGATTTGCTCCAGAAATTGCGTGACGCCCTCCATGGAGGACAGCCTTATCTGCCTACAGGCGATTCTCTAGCGACAGCAGTGACGTCGGTTGATGATAGCCTCCATTCTGACCAACCCACCTGCGCAGTTTGTTGAGTAAAATTTGACTTGACTTGCGTCTGACGTTTATGATGAAAGCATTATTTGATCAGCCTGATCTTGGGAAGGCTGGGCATGCTGTCGCCAAGTGTTCTGACGATGGATGACCGGAGGCTTGAGGTAGATGTGTCCATGGCGAGCTTGTTTAAACGCACTTGCAATTAGTTTGGTCGTCAATCACGAGATACTTTATCTATTGAGGTAAGATGGCCCTCGAAAACATGCACGGTGTATGCTTTTGCGAGAAATATGACTGTAGGGGAACCTGGCTGTGTAAAGGAAGGGTTGGTCTATTTGCATGATGAATCATGTTCGTCCCTTGGGCCAGGTCAGCGGGATATGGGGCTTTATCTTCCTCGGAGCGGCCTGGCTTCCAATCAATCCACAGCAATTATTTTCAATCACACGATTTGGGGCCGATCATCATGGGTCCCTTAGGCGAGGACACAAGACTTTGGGACCATCAGTCTGCAGGAAGTGTTAGTAATTTGGGCCTCTCTTTCTACGGTCATTTGCTAGCTCTCGTAGGGAAGCCCGGGTGATGAAATAGCCCGAACGTGAACTGGCTACGGGTAAATCTGTCCTGCGTTGTAACCCGTCGCATAAGATCCAAACAATAATCGGACATCTGAAAGTCGCCGCACGTTGCCGAATTGGTTTAGTGTAAGCGCGGTCGCTTAATGCATCACGATCTCATCGGGATCCATTGAAACACCAAGACTGCTTGAGTTGAGTATAAATATATCCCCCTAGTTATTCACTTCTATCTTTCCAACAAAATTCATACCAAATACCAGTATCTCAATCAACCCTTTCTGCTCTCTCAATTACAGAAAAACTCTCGAATCTTGCTCCCGCCACAATAACCTACTTAAACACCACAATCTAATATGGCCCCATCTGTCCTCGGTATCGGCATCCCTGCCACCTCCAATATCGTCCCATGGATCGCGAGAGGTCGGCTACAGAAAATCCTTACTGCCATGGAGGCTGACATGGAAGCTTCCCCATACGACTGGGAAATGCTATATATTACTCCAGAGACGTCATTTGATGTCTGCACAGCGAAGCTTCGCGAGAGGCAGTGGGATGTAGTCATGGTTGGAAGTATGTCTCTCTTTTTGTAATCTCGAGCAGCTTTTCTTGAAAACGTGGACTAATATTTTCGCAATAGGAGGCTTACGAGCAACCGATTCACTTGTGCCATTCTTCGAGCGAATAGTCAATGCTGTACATCAAGAGCTTCCGCGAACAAAACTGGCTTTCAACGAGACCATCGAAAAGACGCGGGAAGCTGTCGATCGAGTGCTCTCTAGTGAAGACAAACTGTGAAACTGGATGATAAGAAACCTCTCCCATTTGTTCAATAATTTCAGCCATGTTTAATTCATAATAATTTGCTTTTACTTACTACGCCCGATCGACCGATCATAGGTGCCGAATGCAAATTGGTGACTTCTGCTACTGCTTTTAGACGAGCAGAACTTGATTACCCAAGCTTTTCATCGCCATTCTCCAATCGCAATGATTATTTAATTCGGGCTGACAATTTCTTAGACGCCAGCATTCTTCCATGACCATCAACCCTTTCCATGTCATCCCCAAAGGCTGTTTGTGTTCCATGAGACTCTTTACTGGTCTCCGGAAACGCTCATGCAGGTCTTCATGTGCAAAGCATCCTATGATTGTAAATGCCCAGTTGGCACGGATTATCAACCCGAACGGAAGAGCCTCCAGCCCTTCCAAGCCTCGGCGTACTAGACGCACAAGTTCAGGATGATCTATGCCAAAACCATTCAAGATGACGTGCAGGTATACCTGAGCAGCGCAGGCGAATTGCAAAGTCACCAAACGACTTCGGGCTTCCAAATCATCTAAGTTAACGAGAGACTGTGTTTCTAGTTTGTGCACTTGTTCTACCAGTTGCAGCGATAAGGCTGCAGCACGTGAGGAAAGCTCCTCTGTGTCCAGTGATTTGCTCTGAATCTGAGAGGCCTTCCAATCAGCAAGATGTGTGATCTCAGCAATGCTTGCCATGACTGTTGAGTGGCAACCCATGATACCTTGCGTTTTAAGTTTATTGGCGCGAAGGTATGGTATGTAGTCGAAACGCCGGACATCACGCGAGGGAGACCCATATGTTGCGCAGGCAATGACATCAATCCAAACAACGCAAGTGACGTGGAATTCAAGTGTCCTCTGGGTCTCTGGACATGAGAAGTCCCCGAGCGCTATATCAAGTGGTGATGAATGTGAGGAAGCTCCCCCTTGGTCAAGTGAGCCTGCAGTGTTGTAGTTCTGAATAGTTTCTAGCAGAGTCATTGTCGCTTGGTGATGCATCTGCCAAGTGCCCTCCAACATGCTGAAAACTTCAAGACTGAGTAGCTGATGCATGACTTCTAACATCTGAATTGCTACTCCGATCATGTCATTGGGGCCAACTCGCTGTTGTTGGAAGCGTGTGACCAGAGTTTGCAGTCCCTGTACGGCCACACCCTTCCGCTGCGCTACCTCTACACTTAGGCCAATGCCATCTATCCTCTGGGGTTCTTTAAGCGAGGCATCGAAGCAGGCGCTGACACTCAAAGCACCTTGGTACCGGGCAGGGTTACTGCACAGGCCACTCATAAGCCAGCGATGATCTGCCGGGGCAGATAACGGGCAGAATGTGAACTGCACAGGGAAGACAAACTCAAGGTATATCTTGAGTAGGCAAGCGTCTTGGCGAGAGGTCTTTTGAGTAGGCAGAGAGGAACAGACCCCTCCATCCCACCAAATGGGTACCGGTATAGTCGGCGGTTTGCCTCCTCTCACAATCTGACCAGCCTCGGGCCTGCTTATAGTCTGCCCGGAGCGCCGGCGAGCTTTGTATTGCGTTTCTGCGATGGACTGAAGATGTCGGGCTTCTGAAGTAGCCATGACTTCCTTCCAATTTTGCTTGCCCTGCATCCAGTCGGGAGGAGGGGTGTCGAAGCCGTAGCATTCTAGATTCCGGATGGTACAGCTGCCGCAGCAGGGATGTTGCTCGTCGCACTTCTTCTTGCGCACGCGGCAGGTATAGCAGCCGTTTCTGCTACGCGAGCCGCCTGATGATGCCATTTGGACTACTGGTTCTCCATAGGTAAACTCGTTGGCGTGGAGAATGGTTCCGGTTCTCCTGGCTCTCAAGTGTGAACAGTCGTTGATAAGATCTCGGCTCGGTCATGAAACTGGGCCAGATACCCGAACATGTACGGCCCCCATAAACGTCGCTGATCCTATTCCGAAGAAGGTTAGTTTAAGCGCGGTCGATATCGTGGTGGTCAGATCCATGATCCATGCAACAGGAACAACGAGTCCACTCATAGCTCGGCCTTGATGCATGCCACTACCGACTGCATTACAAACCAGCGTTGCTCGTCTCGGTTATCGTTAACGCCGTTGAATGTCACTAAAACACACCCTCAAACGTTGTCGATGGTTGGTCGTATCCAGAAACGGTCAAGTCAGCCGCAGCCATTCCTAGCCCAGTTTCAAAGGAATTCGACCTGTACTGCTTGTAAATGCTCGCTCGGGAATGAAAATGGCCGATGCTGAAAGACGATGTGTCTCGGGGATGGCTCACGGCCGTCGCTTTCTGTAGATAAACGCGAGATACTGATAATCAGCCCTGGTCGAGACGGCCGCTTGTCTCGTATATATAAGGTCGAGATGTGCCTGCTTTGAGATTATTTGTTTACCAGCCTTCATCAGCATCTTCTTGCAATACAGCTATTCACAAAGACCCTTTACATCATTAAGATGGCAGAAGTCGCAACTCTTGAGCCTCTACTCCCCTCTCGGGTAGTTCACCAATTCCCCGCGCCTTCATGGATTGAGAATCTTGCAGTGCGGTCCAACGGACAGGTTCTGGTGACTTTCATTTCCGCACCTGAAGTCTACCTGGTCGACCCATCCGAGCCTGCAAAGACAGTCCTGATCCACAAGTTCTCAAATGTCACCGCCATGAGCGGAATCGTGGAAGTAGAGCATGATAAATTCTATGTCGCAGGAGGTGTTTGCGATGTCAAGACAATGACCAGCGAAGTAGGATCCTACAAACTGTGGGAGATCGATATGGCTACATTCGATACGAGCGGAGAGGCTACAGTGAAGGAGGTGTTGAAGCTTGACAAGATTGCTTGTCCGAACGGACTGGAGTTGCTGTCACGATCCGAGAAGACCATCCTTGCAGCCGATTGTGAGCACGGCGCCCTCTTCAAGATTGACATTGCGAATGGGACGCATGAGATAGCTCTAGAGGTTGATGAGATGCGAAACCCTGAGAATCCTTTCATCCCTGTGTCTATCAATGGTGTCAAGGTCCTGAAGGACTACCTCTACTGGACGAACACTTCCAAGGCACTATTTTGCCGCGCGAAAATTGTTGAAAATGGCAAGAGTTTTGGCAGCGTCGAAGTCATACACCAGGGCCTCATAGGCGATGACTTCTGCTTTGATTCTGATGGTAATGCTTGGGTCACCCAGAATCCATTCAACACGATTACCGTGGCCAAGTCAGCCGGTGGACTTGTGACGGCTGCAGGGAGGATAGATTTGATGGACGTTGCGGGGGCGACCGCATGTCAGTTTGACAGAAGAAAGGGCAAAGAACATCTGCTCTACGTCGTTACTAATGGTGGCCTAGCTGGACCTGTCAATGGAAACCAGGTGGAGGGTGGGAAGGTTTCGGTTATTGACACCACAGCGTTCAAAACTGGATGAACGAGCCTGTGCAGTTGAATATGCGATTATGACTTAGTACGAAATTGATAAATGAAAGTTTTTAAAGCCACGAGGTTTCTGTCTATCAAGGCCTGAAGAGCGCCGCCTGAAATTCTTTCAGTAGATGTCTGTGACGCGTATATAATGGGGAACTCGTGGAAACCAGCAAGGAATTTTCCTTTTGCCTGGTTGGCCTAATCTGTGACAATGTCCAACTCAAGTTCCCTCCCTGCCGGGTGCACAGTAGTCATAAATTGCAAATTCCATGAGCCACCAGCCCATGAGCTACCAGCCTTACATTGTTACTCTCCCTCCGGACTCTCAGAGAGGGTCATACGGCCTGTGACAAGCTTTGCGTGGTGGATGATGGTCCTTTCCAACTCATCTCTGTCGACTGGAAATCTTCTCTTATAACGGTCAGTCTCCGCGAAGAAATCCAGCAGACGTTCCTTCTCGGCCCTTGTCGCAAACTCAAAGGTCGAATACAACCCGAAATGAAATATTGAGGCAATGAAGGTTTCGAGCTTGAGTAGGTACGGAATGTATTTCCAAAGATGAACGCAGAGGCTTCTTGTTTTCTCATATAACGCCGCTTTGTTCGGGAGCTGGTAAATGTCGCTCCAGTCATATCGCATGCGTAGAATAGTAAGCTTCATATAGCACAAGGCCATGAGAATCCTGGGGACAAAAATGTTGGGGAATTCGTAGCTGGTTTCGGTGAGGCCATTAAGGTCCGGCCTTTCTATCATTTGCTTAGCCCGGACGCAGTTCTGAATTGCGTACGGCAGGGCCTTGTCTGCCTCGTCATCCATTTGCTGAAGCTCCGCTATGGTCAGCATGGCGCGGTCAAATGTCTCTGGGTTAAATGGATCTTGCCGAAGGATGGGGCATTCGTGAAGTATCTTGGGTATCCTGTCGCCAATCGAGCAGTGGACGAGTAAAGGCAGTAGTAGATGCGTTCCTTTCGCTTTTTCGATTATGCAATCCTTAATTATATCACCCCATGGTGCCTGATTCATGAAATTGGTTTCGCCTGTCATGATAAAATATGGAAGCTAAATGGATGTCAGCACTAGAAGCTCATATCTGCATTTCGCAATCGTTGATACGTACCAGTATTCCAAATGCTTCAACCATAAGAAACCTATGAAGGTGATCATCAGGCTTTGGAGCGCCGAGTTGCATTATCATGTAGGCCATCCCCTTCTCATGCATAGACTGTCCCATATTCTGGCCTGGGTCGAAGAACTCCCCTGCACGACCGAGTATTACCATTGAAGCTAGTGTCTGCAAAGTGATGGCCTTGTCGCTTTGCAATGTCCGTCGCAGGCTGCGGATGGCTTTGCCGTATGCAGGCATATCAATGAACTTGCCCGCCTCTTGACCCCGACGGTAGGAAGCCCACGCGGTGCAGAAGAGATCAACCGAGTCTCGAAGGCTTGGATTGTAGTTCATGTGTTGGGGAAGGTCGCGTAGGTACTCTAATAGAGTTAGGATGCCTCGACTTGAGGCAGTGTTTAGATGCGTTATCAGCCGCGCGGAGACACGCTCCGCTGCAGTGGTCAGGTTCGGGGTAGGTTTCACCGCATGCAGCCGGAAGGTGTAATAATACGCCTGATCTTCATTCTGGCCGGGGACTCGGAATTTGGCCTTCTTCCGTACTGTTGGTTGCAGCTCACCACCTTGTGCTGGCTGATGAGCAGAGCGTTGGCCATCCGTGGCCTCGTTCGGGATAATCGGGCCTGATGATTTGGGACCAAAATTCACAAACTTAGTCAACACTGACGGTCCAGGGCAATTGACATTCTTTAGTTTACAGGGCGTGCATGTCGGCCAAATCTGGTCGCACTACCAGGCACATTTCAGTCAGCTTGTCCTGGATACGTGGGCCGGAGCCAACCGCATCATGCCGTAGCCGCTGACATACCTTGATTCTCCGGGCCTTGCAAACTTGGCATGCCTTTGATCTGGGTGCACTGGGCATGTTTCTGGATGGGAGCCTGACTGAACAGACAATCCGATCAGGCACTGGCTCGCCATGGGATGATCTTGCCAGGTTGCATTACCAATGGAGCTGAGAAGCTTGTTTACATATGAGAAGTGGATCACCAGTGGAAAAGGAGGATAACGGCCAAGTCCAAAAGTCCCACACTTCTCACCCATGGTCACGAGACTATGAAATTCCACGCCATTTGCATAACAACTCGGCCACTCAAACACCAGCACACTCCCCTGTTAATCGGTCTGTTTCTCCTCCTCGTACCAGAAATCATCGCTGTAGGCTAACTGAGCCAGCTTGGCAACGCCTCTCATTAGTTGAGCTTCCCAAGCATTAAAGGGGCTGAGCTGTCAGCCAGGAGCGACGCGCTTAGCGCAGACAGGGGTTGGGGATTTGGGTCGTTTCCGAGTCTTCTGTCGATCCGCGTGAATCTCGGAGCATAAAACTCGCAATGTATGAGGATTGCCATGGCGATGCCGGATCATTTTTGAGGGCTGGCGGGACGGCCAGGACCAAGTGCATACGCTGAGAGCGACGCATCACCGCCACTGCTTGCTTGGTCCACTGTGGAACAAGATATTGACCATTTGGACACGGAAATTTGTCGGCGGTCCCTCTCTTTCCTCGTGTCTGTCGGTAGCTGCCGCCAGGGTTTTTGCAACTATCTGGCGAATGAATGGAGCGGGTGGTTAACCGATAGGAACTTCAAGAGGGAGCCAAGCCCTTCCATTGAAGGCGCAACGTAGCTTTTATTTTCAGCTGGCCAGCGGGCTGGAAACCGAAATGAGGCGGCAGTGCGGCGATGATACACTGCTCTAGCGACTGGAGTTACATAGCAGCGCAACATTCGATGCAGTGATCATGCCATCCGCACTGTAACTACGCTCCAGTCCAACGAAACCCACATTGAAAGCAACCTATTCATTGGCTGAAATTCCTCGTCGCAATATTTGGTAGCAGCGAGCTTGGAAGTTGCCTATTTCAGCGTTGTGTTGGAGGATGGAGACCATATATTCTGCATTCTCGACAGCGCAGAACTAAGCTTCAGTTGGCGTCCGTTGTCTTGGGCGCTGCCTCATTACTGCATGAGCACTGAGAAGATAAGATGAATACCTGAAATTCTGCTAGAATTTCATCAATTACGCGGGCTGATCTACCTAGTCTTCATACTGATGTAACATGGTCTCTACGAAATATGGGCATAAGGTCACTATACTTCGTTAAAAACTCTTTCGCCAATGAATTTATGGCTATCAGCTTTGATAGGGTAGAATCATACCGCCTGGCAAGCGATGTCGCATTGGCACAAATGCCATAGACATATCATATAAACATCTCGCTGTCTGGTAGCGTACTTCCCCTGGTCCTCGCTCATGACACAACTCTTTCGAACTATCCTCAGCGAAGATGAAGGATGGCGGTGTCCTCACTATTGTTGGGGCCCTTGGTGCCATCTTAGGTATCATTTTCGTTGCAATGCGCTTTTATGCCCGGCATATGACGAACAACAAAATTGGTTGGGATGACTGGTGCATTCTCATATCGACTATCGCAGTGATAGGAGGAGATGTCCTTGTCGTCGTCGGTTTGTCAACCGTGCAATTTGTACGAATTCGGAGCACAATTATTGACACATAATCAGCAAACGCTATGTATCCGAACGGTGCGGAAGCAGCCTCACACAAAGATCCAAGTTACGAATATACGGAGGACGACCTCCATTATACGAAGCTGAGCTTTGGTGCGACTAGCATATACTTTACAACAGTTTCGGCAACAAAGCTTTCAATTCTTCTTATGTACAACCGTATATTCTCTATCAGCAATTCATTTCGACGTCAAATTCTTCTTCTTATTTTGCTTACGGCTGCATTTTGGATAACAACAACGATCAGCAACTGCCTCAACTGCATCCCTATCAAATACGTCTGGATCAATGCCAAGGCCGACCCACGATACTGTATCAATTACAATCTATACTGGATGGGGTGCGGCTCGGCCGAGTGTGCAATTGATATGCTCATTCTTCTGGTACCTATACGGACCATATCTGGCTTGAAATTGAGTCGCTCCAAGAAGATCGCCGTGGCGGGTGTCTTCATGTTGGGCACCTTGTAAGCATCTTCGCAGTTTATCTTTGTTCCATTCTGAGGCAACATCGATTACTCACACATCCTATAGCGTTATTATATCCGGGATCGTCAAGGTAGTACTTAGCTACGCCCCTGGAAGCCGACAGCCGAACTTTGGGCAGACTTCATTATGGTCATCCATCCATATTTCCACCGGCATCATCGGTGCGTGTCTTCCGATTTGCTGGCCCGTCTTCATCCGCCTCGGAGACTTTTGTCAGGCAAAAAGCCTCCTGCTTCATCCGTCAGAGGACATTGGTACGGCTCCAGCCGTGGATCGACTCGTGTCACTTCTGAAATAATACGCCCGCAAGAGCATCCTGCCTATGGCTTTCACGATCCATCGACCGGCCAGTCCGACGTTCATGAGCTACTACAGCATAAAGAGAATGTGCGCACATCAGTGCCCTCCATCAGTAATAGCACTGACTAGAGTCCGATACTTAATAAGTAGGCCTAGAACGAAAGATAAAAAATAAAGTCCAACAACAATAAAGCTGACAGGGCCTGATGACTCAACTCAATGAATACAAAATCTTAAAATGCTGTCCTTCCTAGTCCGCCCAAGATATAGTCATACGGCAGGAAAATCTATGAACCTTCGTACGGGTGACTCACTTACCGTCAGTACAGCAGTTCGTCGAATAACTTTTAAAGGGACCCTCTTTCACACCTGGCTTCTCGCCTTCGAAGTGGTGGGTGTTCTTGGTACCTAAGGCTAGATCACTACAGTCATATATAGCCATCCAAAAGAACAAGTAGGGTATTCGGTGGCGCCTATATGACACGGAGAGGAAGGGTTAGAGGAGATAGCATTAATAGAAATATTTTTAAGCTTTCAAAACACAGTGAAAGATAAGTAGGCCTAAAATAAGGGTATAATCTTATATGGCCGGCATCAGAGGATCAGTGTATTCTCAACGTAGTGTCACACTCCAGCCTTTCCAGAAGGGCATCCATATCCTCGACAGCTGATTGATTGGGCATTTCAGCCGAATGGTACACTCTACCCACGAATATAAATGAACAGAGTTACAATCGGAAAGAGAAGATGCCGGAACTTTCTGATCAGACGGAGGCAGAGGCATGACAAGATTCTTGGAGCTGCCTAGTCCTTGGTGACGTAGTGCGTCAGAGGCCTTCGGGCGCGCATGAATGAAGCTCCTAAAAACTCGAACGCGGAAACTCGTCACATTGATTGCATACACGTGTCAACTTTCTTTGTGTTAAATCGTATTTTCCTAATATCAAGCTTTAACGCTAGCAAAGTAGGATATCTGCATTAAATCTTATAGCTCGTCTCTAAACTCAAGCATGGCAACGCGACCCAAAGAACTCCCCAGTGCAATCCTTGCCCCTTTAGTATGGGCCACTGCGTGACCTCGATACTCAGATGGGAGCCACAGCAGCCTCTCATCGTTTTTTGATACCCACGACCCATCGTTGCTCAAGCCATAACCTTCTAGACGGGTAGATCCATCGTCCTGAATGTTCCAAGTGCCTGCGTTTGTGAATAAACGGTCTTCATTGACCGGGTCAAAATCAAGGCCACTTATGCGCTGCAGCATAGGTATCTTTAAGGCGGGTTCTTCGTTTGTTAGGTCCTTGACATAAAGATGGCCATGATCGGGAGCCATAACAAACCACCTGGTATTGATAGCTACCTCCGGACCTGCGGACGAGTGGCTTTCCACCCGAAAGATGCCTGGTTGAGGATCTTCCACGTTCCAAATCGCGAATTCCTCGTTTGTAACCATTGCAAACCTTGTTCCATCGGCTGACAGCGCCAATGCCATGCATGGAGGCGCCGATGCCTCTATGTATGGCGTGTCGTCCGATATTTCGCTGCCTGTGTCACTGCCTGTTTCACTGCCTGTTTCACTGCCTGTTTCACTGCCCGTTTCGCTGTCTGTTTCTGCCCATGGAAATGCCTCTAGTATATCTTCGATGTCGAGTCTCCAGAGCTCAGAGCCCACGTCCGTATCATACGCCTGAACACCCAATTTGGAACACAGCACTAAGACGCGGCTGCGGGGTGAAAAAGTCAATATCGAGGCCCAGAAAGGAAAGACATGCACCTGTTCGCGTGTTTCCAAGATTATGACGCTAGTTAACTCCTTATCCCTAATGGCTCTTGCCATGAGCTTACCGTCGGGTGACAAGCCCACAGCACCTCCATCGCTACTGTATAGGTTCGCACTGGACTCGTCGACGATGGTCCACGTAGCAGTCTCCCATATCATAAAGGGAGTCGTTCGATGATGGATTTCAGACGCGCAAAGGAGCCACAATCCATCAGAAGAAAATTGGAGTGAGAGAGGTGCCTTTGTTAGAGTTTTAGGACCTTCCATCGTTCGTACGCACGCACAGCTGGCAACGTCCCAGATCTTGATGGTATGGTCTTCAGCAAATGACACGAGCCATCGACAGTCAGGTGAAAATGTAACAATTAGGATGGGATAGTCGTGCTCAAGGTCAGAGCTTCGATCAAGAGGCATATTGTATATTTCTGCTCTGGTGGAGCTTGGGCTTGTGAAGGTTCCCTCGTCGTCCGAGGATGAGGGTTTCTCTCTTTGAATCGATGGGTCTGAAGTTTCCTTAAATTGGTCTGACAGTATGTCATCATATCTTTGATCGTCAATCTTGTCATAAAGATATTCCTGGTTTGAGGCTTCGGCATCACCATCTCTGGTAGCCGTTAAGTCCCATAGCTTGAGGGTGCGGTCGTATGCGGATGAAACGAGTAAACCTTTCTCAGCGGAAAACGCTAAGTCGCTTATGAAAGACCCATGTCCTTTGAGTTCGCGAACGCAGAACCCATCATTGTCCCATAACATAATGCTGGACCATGAGGTTGACGCACAGAGGAGTCCTGGAATATTGAGTGAGATTAATGCTTGGTTTCTAGGACCATGCCGTTTCCAAGTCTGTGTATTAGCCCAAGTTTCCGTATTCCATACGCTGAAGGTGCCATTGTAACTGGCTACTAATAAGGTTTGGGGTAGAAATGTAAGGCCTGAGGCAGGAGTATCGATGGCATGGAGGCACTGCCCAGTTTCAACTGCCCATATCCATACACCATCCGCCATTCTTCCAGTTGCCAGCATCATGCCATCCTCTGAGTATGCAATACATGAGTCATAGTCATCGGGAAAACTGGGACGTGTCATTGTTCGCACGCAGCAACGTGTGCGGAGATCCCAAATTTTGGCGGATGCATTTTTCGAATTAGCGGCTAGGTGAAGCCCGCTCGGCGAGAATACGATAGATTTTGCATTGAAATCTTCAAAACCCTCAAATTCCTCATTATTATCCAGGAACAAGGACGGCCTATCCGGGTTCAGGGGTGTGAAGAGGTCAAAAAGCGCGATCGTGCGACTGGTCCAATCGAAGCTATATAAAAGGGCTGCTAACTGCCTTCCGTTTGGAGAAAAGACGAGAGAGTCCAGAAGTCCATTTTTCAAATCACCGCAGTATATGCAGCAGCCTTTCTCTGTATCCCATAATTTAAGCTGCTTATCAATCTGAGAAGATGAAGCCAGTGTGCGCCCATCTGGCGCGAGAGCGATTGAGTCAAACCCCCAGTCTTTACCTTCTATAGTCTGGGTACAAGTGTCCCAGTCCGAAGGAGGCCTGGGCCTCAGATTGATCCATGTGGGTTGATCAGCCTCATAGAGGCTTTTGACGACACTCGAAGTAGGACTGAAGACAAGAGCGGAAACATAGACTTGGAGAGGGGCGAGCTCGAAAGCATGCCGGAATGTGAGAACGAATCTACATACATCCTTGACTAGACTTTTGAGGCTCTTGTCTATGAAATCTGGCTACTCAATAATTAGCTCAACCCTTCGGATCAATCAATAATAATTTCAAGAATAGGGCAAGTACCAAAGTGCTCAAGAGTCTGCGGCAGGTCGCCACCCCATGGGGAATCTGCTGTTTTAAGCTAAGAGCTTCCAGCCAGTTGAGTAATTTGTTTTTCAGAAAGGTGTCAAGTAAATATTGATCGGCTGCTCCTCGAACTAGGCCTCCTCCGGCTATTAAGTGACGAGCCCAATAAAGAGAGACATATCCGAGGCAAGCCAGGGGGTCGGGATCAGGTGCGTCAATGATGCTGTCCCCAGGAGACGGAATATTGTACATGTTGCGATAGAGGTTCTTTAAAGCCTTTAAAGACTGTCTAAACATATTGAGGTGAGATTCTTCTTTTTTGAAATGTGATAACGTGTAATAGTTTTCCGATTCGAGCAAAAAGTCCTGGGCCGACTGGTGTACGAAATGTACTGTATTCTCTCGGATGCATAAGAATGAACCGCATTCTCCAACGATTTCCTCAATTTGCTCTGGCCGTAAAAGCTCCAAACCATCAACAAAAATCAGAAGCTCGCCAGTTAATAGGGGACGAAATGCGATAGTAGAACTTGCGAGGATCCGTCCACAGACCGTGGAATTCCGAGAGGCGAGGATTTGTTGAAGCATGCGGTCGTACAGCTTCTCTAGGCCCCGTGGCATAGAATTCAGCTGCTCAATGGTATTCCAGGATCTGACATCTGGTTTTGACAGCTCGACACAAACCAAGGCTACCCATAGAAACGTCTCGTCAGCCTTGCAGTGGAGCTCTCTTAGTACCGCTTCTGTCGTCTCTTCGCTATACCGCTTAAGTCTAGCCAATTGCAAGACTTTATGGTTAATGAACATATTGTTGTTGTTGTTGTTATTGTAATTATTTTACACCGGTAGATCCCGAAGGTAAAGGGCGCCTATCTAGAGCTATACTACAAGCTGTAAGGCAGCTTCTATATATATACTAATATCTAGACAGGATTAGTAGTAGGGGGTTCGATAAGGGAGAATAAAAGTTATTACTCTGGTAAGATATTTAGGGAGGCTGTAAAAAAGCTACAGGTTAAGTAGAAGGAGATAGGAGTTTATTTCCTTTATATATACTAGATTAAGTAGAAAAGAGAGAGAGAGAGATAGAGATAGAGAGAGAGAGATAGAGGGAAGTAAGAGAGAGTATAGGGATTAATAAAGGAGAAGTAAGGGAGTAAGAAGAACTATTAGTCTTAATATAGTTTAAAGAAATCAGACTTCTTAGTATAGTATATAAAGAGTTCCTATTTTGGTCTAATAGCTTTACTAATTCCTTAGATCTCAGGAGGCTAGAGCTACTTTATAAGTTAATAGATAAAAAGATAGGTAGAAGTCTTTTAATATTTATAGGTATAGAAAGGCTTATAGTTTTAATAATTATAGTTAGTATAATAGTATATAAAATTACTATACCCAGTCCTTATAGCTATAAGGTAATAGAGTATCTTCCGAGGGAGGGAAAGCTTAGGGTTCCTTTTAAAAGATATCTTAAGATAAAAACAGAGATAAGACTCTAGCTTATTAAACTACTACTAGCCTTCCTAGACTGCCTTTATATTCCTATTTATATTCCTATATAAGTAACTAATAGAGAGAGTAACTTTATTACCCTTCAGGGGCTTAAAGCCCTAATAATCCCAGTCTGTACCTATATTTATAAGTATATTAGTAAGTTTATTACTAGGGATCCTGATATATCCGGAAGACTATTTTATTATATATCCCAGGTTATATCCTCTTACGGCTTTATATAATAAACAGTATACTCAAGGGCTACAGGGTAGTCTAAGAGTAATTAAATATCTTTATTTAGTAATAGTTATTCTAAGGAGAGAGAGATAATAGTTTTATTATTTAGAAGTTAATTAATAAATTAGATAATAGATTAACTTATAGTAGTATATATAAACTGATATTTATTTATTAATAACTATTAAGCTAGTAATCTATTTAGAAATAATTATATATATATAATAGAGTATTTAGTAATTTCTTTAAGTACTTAGAACTAAGTATCTTCTACTTAGTACTAATTATCTTATTTTAATATCTAAGTATATTATATAATCTATATCTAACTTAGTTTAGAGCTAGCTTATAACTAGGGTATAATATAATACTTCTTTTTTATTAGTTTTATCTTTAAGATTATATTCTATAGCTTAGATAAGTTCCTTTTCTTTTCTTTTATATAGATCCTATCTATTAACTATTATAATTAAAAGAAAATTTTCTAATTATTATAAAGTAAAAGCTTTACTAATAGAAGAATTTAGTATAGATATTATATTTTATTCTTATTATTTAAAGAATAAATATTAGTATTATATAATATCTAATAATAATAAGTACTATCTTAA